TGACACTGAAACTTGCCTAACGCGACATGCAGGGGGAAAGCTTCGCGTTCCCCGCGAACGCGACGCAGTTCGATTCCACCGATTGTGAGGCCGCCTTCGAAGGGCTGGGCAACCTCGAAGACGTGACGTGCTCTCGAGGAGATGTGGGCGCAGAGGGCGGGGCGACCTTTGACATTGGTAAGCGCGGGGAGTGCAGATGAAATAGTTGGAGCCAATTTTCAATTGGCGCCCACGAGTTGGTTTGCCGTGTGCGGCAAGGTGATCGACCAATTGTGGAGCAAAAGGTTAGAGAACGGCAAATACAGGCGCTGTGCACCATCGTCAGTCTTGTTTCCAGGTATAAAAGGCGTCTCTGGTTGCTTAGGTTCTGCGCGAGTATCTCTACCCCGTCTCGTGTTTTTGACTTTCGACGTTGCTGCGTTTAATATCCTCCTGACCACCACGACTAGCCTGGGCTCATTTGTCTCTCGGCCATCACCTTCATCGTCTGACATTGCCAACGCCAAAACCAACCCTACTTCTACCACCACCACAACACCACCACCGACGCTCGGCGCGGCTTCAACGAGAGCAGAACTGGTGGCCTTTCCCACCTTCCCGCACCAGAACAACGTCTTCTCGCACGATGGATGGCCGGGACTCGACGCCTTCTCCTGCGATGCCGCTAACATCACCGGGGCAACGGACCCCGTCTGCAAGTTCACCGTGCTGCAGGATAACAATTTGAAAGGTGGACCGAACGCTCCGTGTTGCATGCTACATGGGTCATGGCGGGGAAAGAGGGGGGAGCGGGGCCCAAGGGAATGTTAACCTTGACTTGCACCAAGTTCAGCTTCCCGAAGTCTTCATCCTTGAGAAATTCGTGCTCATTATTTCATCTATTCACGGCGGTGCCCAGGATTCCGAAGGAGTCCAGAATCGAAAGTCACGGCTGTCTACTTGCGTGTGATGCTGCCCTATGCGCCTGTAGTAATATTACATGCATCGTACAGGAGGCAATTTGGCTTCAACTAGCTCACTTTTGGTTTGTCCAACGCTTCTCGGTTGTCGCGGGTTGCTGATACCGGTGGTTGTCGTTCGTTGGTGGTCTTTTGGAAACAGAGTAGGAAAACACGGCTTCAAAGACTTCAAGACAAAGTTGAAACGGTTGGGGACAACCTAGTAACTGTGTGGGCGGGACACCGTACAAGGCCGTATGGTTTGCAAGCAAACGATGGACATTCACGAATGACCCCAGTTGACCTTGAACCGAGGCAAGCAGACTAACAATCTCGCGATTAGAACGTGTGTAAGTAGATAGAGCTAGCCGTGGTTAGGGCGTTGCTTAGAAAGTTCAACCGAGACTCATGTTGTTGATTTATGCTACCCGCGACCGTCGAAGAGGCCGAACTATGCCGGTATCCAGCGCGAATCTTGCGTGGAATAGTTCCGTTTTGGTGCGTGGAGGATATAGTTGTCTTTGAGAACACATCAAACTCCACTTGACGCGTCGTCATTGTAAGGAAGCAGAGGACAAGTTCAAAGTAGGTGATCCCCATCCCCATCGGGAAGCGTGACGACAGCGATGTGAACGAGTTGCTAAGTTGCGTTTCAATTAGTGTCGACTGGCAGGACCACGGCACATTGAATAACTGCTCCTTTCCCCGCAACTTGAACCCCTCGTTGTACCGTACAGAGTATGAGTTTTGCAGCAGAAGAGGCATATGCGACTTCGAGACCGGGAGGTGCGATTGTGTAGACGGATTTTCGAGAGCCAATTGCGACGTGAGTGAGAGCCAAATCACCGAGGATCTCGATGCGGACGTTTTGGAGCTGTACACTACGCTGGCAAACTTCACCGGTAAGGTTCTTCGATGAACAGTGCTCTGGTAAATAGTTTCGTTTCCCTTGAGGAAGTGCGCGGATGAATACAGTGTGGTTTTTCGTATTGTGTTTTGGGAGAGCACGTTCAGTCTGAGTCAGAATCTGCTGGCGGCACCGAGAAGAACAAATGGCAATTTTCGTGCACGTAATGATCTGTGGTGCATTACCTCCCGCCGAAGGGGAACTAGTCGAGGGGTACCGTGATCGGCCTCCGGTGAACGAAAAAAATAGCCGCCGTATGTACACCCATAAACACAACAACGTGGAAACCAGGCTTAGGTACCTTGCTAGGGGTAGTAATGCACGTGCCACCAATAGAGATCGGAAGACTAACGAACAATGTTCTACCGGTCCGAGGATGTTTGCCAAGAAAGATTCACCGAACATTGACCACTCAGTCAGGTCAGTCTCGGAGATGGGGAGATGTTAACGAAACCACACTCTCGCTTCCACCCTTTCTTGAAAAACGCGTTTTGCATGGTTGTCCTACCTCAAAGGGAACGTCTTGTACCTCAAGACGGAGAGGGAATCGAGCTCATATTTCAACCTCATCAAGGCGGCTTCTGAAGGCGAAAACACGTTTGTTCTAGCCGGCGATGGTACCCTCCGTATGTACAAGGTACGCGAACTCTTTTAAGGACCCCTGGCCGTTTCGTATTATGTTTTCGTTGCTGCCCTGCAGATGTAGTTGTGCCGTTATCGTCGCCGCTGCTCACATGTGTTTTAATTTTCGGTGGAGAATATCCAACGCCTTCCCCGACCCTTACAACTAGCATTTCGCCTTCACTCCCCTTGGAGGCCTCACACGATTAAATCCCGTAGGGTCTGGACATTCTTGTGCTTTGAACCGCGTTGTTCCACGGGGTTTGTAGTAGTAAAAAAAGGCGACTCCCACGAATGCGTCCCGGAAGGCGATGATTGCCGAACCTCTCCTCAGCGCCCACTCACACAGATGGCAGCGCAGGGAAGAGGTCCGATGATATCAAGTTGGGTCAAATCACCAAACTGCACGCGCACGTCCGGGACACAAGGAGAAAGAAGGATAAATGGCCTTTACGCCCCGCCCGACCAGCGACGCTGAACTCGTTCACAAGCTCACCTCATACCTACTCCACCATTAGATCGCTAGGGTAGACTATCCCATCGTTGACGCTCACGTACAACGCGGAATAGAACGTTCAAGCCACCACTCTCTGGAAAGCCTAAAAGGAGTCGTGATGCCGAGAAACAGTAGCTCAAGCCCATCAAGGTGACATCTAGAATTTGTGTATCGTTCTTCTTGACTTATTGTGGCAACCTTCTATATGATTGAGTTGGCGTTTTCGTAGGACTATAAAAGTAGGAAATGGTCCTTACGCCAAGGGCCGCCAATATGCCATGTGAGCTCGTTGAGCATCATTTTTAGACGGTATTTTGGTTTTTTCTCCTCTTTCTTTCCCTATCTTGCGTGTGATGGCGAGGCAAAACCGGAACGACAGCGCTTGGGAGAAAAATCCAAGAGCTGAGATCTTTTTGGGTTTAGCCGGGCACTGTTTCATGCGGTCATCTCATTACATCGAGGCCTTTCCAATATGTTGCCTGCTCTCTCGGTACTGCCAAAATACGATTCGACTTTGTCATGTAAGATTGTGCTGGCCTGTGCAATGAACCGCAATATTGGTGATTCATGCCGTCGAAGTAAGAAGTTCTAGGCAGGATGGCCGCCTTGGCAGATATATGGTATGGCGGTGAGAACATATCTTGCGATTGCGCGTCCACAAGGTCGTTCTACATGCCGGCTAGTGATATAACCTGTTTCCCCGTTCTCGTCCCTATGCCCGTGTTTGTGCTTGCTGTCGTCAGGGAGACTTGATCGTAAGTGCCGGGACATCCTACTTCGCAGATCTGGTGACTGCCGACAATGGCATGGCCATTTCCGGTGGCAGTCTACTCGTAGAAGACGCTGACGAGCTAATTTCCGGCGGTGACCTTACTCTTTCCACCGGGTAAGAAAATTTGACGTTGAGATACTGCTGATGGTTCTTCCTACGCAGTACGGTCTTCTTCGTGAGTGTTACGTAGGCCGAAGGATGAAAAATTCCGAGGTCTGTCGTCTTCCAAGGGAGAAACATGAACTTTGAGTGGTGCCAGGAAGACAGATATCGTTTGAGCATATCACCCAATCAAGCGGATTTCATCTGAAAACGCACTCTACTACGAACTGAAGCACCCTAGCCTGGTTTCTTGCCGTCACGTTCTTCACGCCGAGCTAGGTTGGGCAATATCTCCGAGAGAGTCCCTCCGACAATAGCTAGGGCTTGGGCTTGACCAATTTAAAGGTCTTAAACACACGGTAGAGGGGGATATCGAGCGGCCCACAACCGCAAACGGTAACCTCCCAAGTACAATGGTTCCGACGAAGAACCACGAGCAGAAGAGAAAGCTCGTGTCATGAATGTGGCTCATCGTAACCTTGTCCCTGATATTGAGCGATAACTATCGCGGGCATCGGAAACCCAATAACGGGGCGTAATATGCCGTATGTATGTGGACACGTTCCTGCTCTCGCCAAAATATCTGTTTTGGCGTTGGGTATCCATAGGACAAAATATTGTTTATGGTACACCCCGCGACACATAAATAGTTGCCACAGACCAGAGGGGGCCGTTTGTGTGTCACTATTTCATGCATGTTGATCTCGTTTATCTCACGATATGAGCTCCTCTGAAAAAAGCTCCAGGCGAACAGCAGAATCAGCACATCATCGACAATGCGTACCATCTACAAACGACTGAGGTGCTGACGAGCTGACCAAAGACAACAGAGTAAACAACAAAAAGTCGACCCTCTCGTACGAATGCCTTCGTATTGCAAAGATCACAAGCGCAAACCTGACGACCAAATGTCTCGGGTGTGTGGTCTCGTCATCAGGTCTATCATCGCCGACAGTGGGACATTATCGGTGGCCGGTATCACGAGTTCGGCAGTTGTGACGGTCAACGACGACATCATCTGTACGGGGGATGTCACCGCCACGACTGGCTTGCTCACCATCCGCAGCATCACGAGCTCGGAATCGGTGACGGTGACAAGCGGAGGAGCAAGTATTACGGGTCCGACGGAAGTTGTGTCCGGCGGAGCAACCATAACAGCCGGTGGACTCCGCGTCGTAGCCGGAGGATTCGTCATCGAAACGGTGGGAGCTACTATCGATGAGGGAGACATGACGATCACCGACGGCGACATAACAATCACTTTAGGTGACTTCACCGTGACAGATGGTGACATTCTGGTACAATCGGGGACGCTTAGCGTTTCAGGAGTGAGTACTTTCGGAGACCTCGCGACTGCGTCGAACGGTCTCACCGTCAACACGGCGTTGCTCACGGCTGCTGCGGGAGTCGCCGTGACCAGCGGAGATGTCACCTTGGCGACCGGCGATGTGATCTTGACAGCCGGCGATCTCTCCGTGGGTGGCGTCAGCACATTGACGGGGCTCGTCACAGCATCGAACGGTCTCACCGTCAACACGGCGTTGCTCACGGCTGCGGCCGGCGTCAGCGTTACCAGCGGAGACGTCACCTTGGCGGCCGGCGATCTCTCCGTGGGTGGCGTCAGTACGATGACGGGGCTCGTCACGGCGTCGAACGGTCTTACTGTCAACACGGCCCTGCTCACGGCTACTGCCGGCGTCAGCGTGACCAGCGGAGATGTCACCTTGGCGACCGGCGATGTGATCTTGACGGCCGGCGATCTCTCCGTGGGTGGTGTCAGCACAATGACGGGGCTCGTCACGGCGTCCAACGGTCTTACTGTCAACACGGCCTTGCTTACGGCTGCTGCGGGCGTCAGCGTGACCGGCGGAGATGTGACCTTGGCAAGCGGCGATGTCATCTTGACAGCCGGAGATCTCTCCGTGGGTGGCGTCAGCACGATGACGGGGCTCGTCACGGCGTCCAACGGTCTCACCGTCAACACAGTCTTGCTCACCGCTGCTGCGGGCGTCAGCGTGACCGGCGGGGATGTCACCGTGGCGACCGGCGATGTTATCTTGACGGCCGGCGATCTCTCCGTGGGTGGCGTCAGCACGATGACGGGGCTCGTCACAGCATCGAACGGTCTCACGGTCAACACGGCCTTGCTCACGGCTGCTGCGGGCGTCAGCGTGACCAGTGGAGATGTCACCGTAGCGACCGGCCATCTCTCCGTGGGTGGCGTCAGTACGTTGACGGGGCTCGTCACGGCGTCGAACGGTCTCACGGTCAACACGGCCTTGCTCACGGCTGCTTCAGGTGTAAGCGTGACCGGTGGCGATGTCACCTTAGCGACCGGCGATGTGATCCTGACAGCCGGCGATCTCTCCGTGGGTGGCGTCAGTACCTTGACGGGGCTCGTCACGGCGTCGAACGGTCTCACCATCAACACGGCCCTGCTCACGGCTGCTGCGGGCGTCAGCGTGACCAGCGGGGATATCACCGTAGCGACCGGCGATGTCATCTTGACGGCCGGCGATCTCTCCGTGGGTGGCGTCAGTACGTTGACGGGGCTCGTCACGGCGTCGAACGGTCTCACTGTCAACACGGCCTTGCTCACGGCTGCTGCGGGCGTCAGTGTGACCAGCGGAGATGTCACCTTGGCGACTGGCGATGTCCTCTTGACGGCCGGCGATCTCTCCGTGGGCGGCGTGAGTACCTTGACGGGGCTCGTCACAGCGTCGAACGGTCTCACGATCAACACGGCCTTGCTCACAGCTGCTGCGGGTGTCAGCGTGACCGGCGGGGATGTTACTTTGGTGACCGGCGATGTCATCTTGACAGCGGGCGATCTCTCCGTGGGTGGTGTCAGCACGTTGACGGGGCTCGTCACGGCGTCCAACGGTCTCACGGTCAACACGGCCTTGCTCACGGCTGCTGCGGGCGTGAGCGTTACCGGCGGGGATGTCACCGTAGCGACAGGCGATGTGATCTTGACAGGCGGCGATCTCTCCGTGGGTGGCGTGAGCACGTTGACGGGGCTCGCCACGGCTGCTGCAGGCGTTAGTATTACCGGCGGAGATGCGACATTGGCGACCGGCGATGTGATCTTGACGGCCGGCGATCTCTCCGTGGGTGGTGTCAGCACGATGACGGGGCTCGTCACGGCGTCGAACGGTCTCACCGTCAACACGGCCTTGCTTACCGCTGCTGCGGGCGTCAGCGTTACCGGCGGGGATGTCATATTGGCAAACGGTGATGTCATCATGACAGCCGGCGATCTCTCCGTGGGTGGCGTAAGCACGATGACGGGGCTCGTCACGGCGTCCAATGGTCTCACCGTCAACACGGCCTTGCTTACCGCTGCTGCGGGCGTCAGCGTGACGGACGGGGATGTCACCTTGGCGACCGGCGATGTGATCTTGACGGCCGGCGATCTCTCCGTGGGTGGCGTCAGCACGATGACGGGGCTCGTCACGGCTGCTTCGGGCGTGAGCGTTACCGGCGGGGATGTAACATTGGCGACCGGCGATGTTATCTTGACGGCCGGCGATCTATCCGTGGGTGGTGTCAGCACGATGACGGGGCTCGTCACGGCGTCCAACGGTCTCACGGTCAACACGGCCTTGCTCACGGCTGCTGCCGGCGTCAGCGTGACCGGCGGGGATGTCAACTTGGCGACTGG